AGATTTAGATCCTCCCAGAAGAGCTGTGGGTGAGCATTAACATTACTGGTAAGTATATTCGTTTTCTCCTGGACACAAGAGCCTACTATCTGGTCCTAAAAGCCTTCTGACGTCCTAACTCTTCTCACTATTTCTTAGTTGTTGGAATTGATAGAAAACCTCATAAGCAGTTCCTTACTTCACCTCTGCCTTGCATGTGGACTTCCGAGTTGTAAAACAACCCAGTGGTAGATGGAATTTGCTCCAGGACTTAAGAAAATAAATGACATATTTGAACCTCTACACTTCGTAACCTTTTTACTATAATAGATAAAGTGCTAGTCAATAGGCCTTTTATTGTTATAACTACCTTCCCTCTGTAACTTGATTGGTGCTACTGTTAGAGCCTCTACCTGGAATATTGTTGCTTTTCAATTTTTGACTAATGTACTTTTAACTTGTTAGTTAAATTTGTGTCTTCTAGGCTGCAACACTTCCACGTTACATCTTCAAGGATAGGAACACGCACAGCTAAACACAAGTGATAACAGTGCGTCTACATTCCAAAATCAATCTCCATGATAGTCTATGTGTTTCCTATTGCCAAAGCGGCCCTTTAGAGTAGTGAGAGAACATCTTAACCCTGAAACCTACAGCATCCCTTTCCAGCAGGAAGTAGCTAATAGAATACGCTGTCCCCTTTTCCTTTTGAACCAGGGTGAAGTCTCAAGGAGGAGTGATAGGGAATGGCAAAGGACACACTGACAAAGTAGATTAATCAGAACTGGCTTTGACAAGCACTGTAGCAATTGGACAATTAAAACAGACTTTCAAGGGGGGAGGGGGAAAGAATAACGAACTGGGGAGGAGGGTTAGACAAAATAGTGCAGCAATGAATGAATGAAAACCCCAAATCTCTGTAAATGTTCATTAAAATTAATAAAATCTAATAAAAAAAAGAAAATCAAAATGGCCGGTCTCACTCAGCATTTCTTAAGCTGAAGGAGTTGAAAGACAAATTCAAGCCACGGGTGGCAATACTTAGAGATCACTTGGGTAGAATGTTAAATGATCCAGGAAGTGTCAAAAGAAGATGGAAGGAGTACACAGAGTCACTGTATCAGAAGTAATCGGCTGACACAGAGGAATTTCATGAAATAATACATGAGCAGGAGCCTATGGTGATGAAGGAGGAAGTTTAAGTTGCTCTGAAGGAATTGTCAAAAAACAAGGCTTCAGGAGTTGACAGCATACCAACTGATTTATTTCAACAAACAGACGCTGCCCTGGATGTGCTCACTAAGCTGTGCCAGAAAACCTGGAGGAGAGCCAGCTGGCCAACTGACTGGAAGATATTTGTTCCCATTCCAAAGAAAGATGACCCAACAGATTGTGGAAATTATCGAACAATATCATTGGTATCTCATTCAAGCAAGATTCTGCTGAAAATTATCCAAAAACATTTGGAATACTATGTCAACAGAGAACTGCCAGATGTGCAGGCTGGATTTAGACGATGTCATGGTACTAGGGATATTATAACTAATGTTAGATGGATCTTGGCAGAAAGCAGAGAATACCAGAAGAATGTC